AGTTGCAAATTAAAGAAGGCAATATTGACATTTCATTTTACTTTAGCTATTTACTTTTAGACATAATTTCGAAAATTCGAGAAAATTTTCAAGTATAATTCTGATTCAAAAATTTTAATCTAATTGAATTTTATTTTATCTTCCGCATAGCTCGACTAGATCGGTGTTTATTCCAAGAACAGTTTTATAATCAAAAGCTTTAATTCTAATTAGAAATAATATTTCAAGCTTTTTTGATTTGAGATCATAAAGTTCTACTATAATGACAATTTTTCTTATTATAGCAAAAGATACAAATGTATGCATATACTGTCAGCAAAATGTGTCTGCAATGAATAATTTTTTAATATTTGCAAGTAGAAATTAATTTCGTGGAATTGAACGATAGCAAAAATTCGTTCTATTTCATCATTTTATTTTAATTTTCATTAAATGATTGTCAATTTCTCATTTAATTCTTCTATTATTACTTACTTTCCCATTTTCCTAATATCTTTTTAATATTTTTTATAATTAATTTTAAACTCATAAATAAACTGAACTTTATCACTCAGAAACAAATAATTGCAGCTGTCAGTAAGAAGTTTTAAAAAATTTTATTGTTAGAATTGACTGAACTGAAATATCATCACAAATTATTTACAGAGCACTGGTTAACGTTATTTATTAAACTGCTCTTTTTTTAATAGATTGTGACAATTTAAAGCACAAAAGTTTGATATCCGTCAAATTAGCACTCTATATTTAAAAATTGAAAACAATTCGTTTTTATTTTCGAAAATTACTAATAAAATACCAATCATATTTAATTAGCAAATTTAAAATACTTTGCACCTAACTTTCTTTCTTTGCAAAAAAAATTGCGAACAAAGTTTTGCAAATTGGTTGCTAATTTGAAAACAAATGTCAGCTTTGTCCATATTTCAATATTCCTTACTATTTACTCCCTTAATCTGCACTAAATGAGAAGATTAAGAGAAGTATTTTGAATGAGTGTGTGGATGACACATTAAGAAGAGTAAATAAATAGAATAAATTCCGTCATCAAATTTCAAAATAATGAAATACATACATATATTAGTGTAAATGAATGATGTGCATCATTAAAATAATGTAAAAAAGAATATAAATAATCAATGGAATGAAAATTGTAAATTTATTATGAAAAAATAAAAAAAAAATTCATTGCAAACTGAAACGACAAGAAAAGAGAATTATTTATTAGCCAATTGACAAGAAGAGTTAGGAGAAGCTTAACATAGCACATTCTGAATAAAGTAACTGGTACGGTGTGAAAAAAGCCCAGTACGAATAAATAACTGGTACGGTATGAAAAAACTTGGCACGAATAAAGTAACTATAAAAAAAGTCTAGCAAGAATAAAAAAACTATGAAAAAAACCTAGCATGAATATAAAGTAACTGGTATGGTATGAAAAAGGCCTAACATGATGCATTCTGAATAAAGTTGTTTGCATGGTATATCTTTCAATATGTTGCTTTCACATTATTTATTTTCCATAAGGTGAGCTTTTTTTTCCTCAAGTCTTCTCATATTTCTTATGTAAAGTAATCCAAGAAAATGATCAGTTTGAAGTTGTAAACTTTTATTTTAAATTAAGACTGACGATTGATTATCCTTCATTTGTTTTTTAATGAAGAAAATTTGAATGCATTATGACGAATTTCATTGAATAAAAAGTAATCATATCATTAATGTTCACTTTTATTTAATAACAATAAATCAAATGTCATTTTATCTGTCATAAGCGAAGCTGAAATAATTTACAAATTCACTAATTCAAAAACCAACACATAAAAATAGCATTACATTCTATAATTTTGTATGATATAAGCATTTAATATTTCATCATTTATTTTGCTAAATATGTGGTTGGAATGTAAATTTCTAGTCGCTAATTTATTCATCAATGAAAGTTACAATTTAACAATTTTGATGTGTGAAATTTCTGAGTAAATTTAAATTCATGAAAGGAAAAAAAATGATTTAATGGTTATATTTATTTCAAATTATTATGGGTTTCATAAAGATAGTGCGAAACTTTAATTCATTTTGGTGAAAACTTTTAATTTTGTGATTTCGTTTTGAAAGGATATGATCATAAAAGTGAAAAGCATGTTGGAGACCTTGAAGAAGTAAAAGAAAAACGAAATTTCAGTAGATGAAGAAATGATGTAAAAAAAAATTTGTAGAAAACTGATTCTAAAGCAAATTTAATAACCAATAACTTAATTTAAATTATATCAATCTATTCGAAAGACTAACGCACACATTTTGGAAAAATTTTTCTTTTAATTTTTTTGAAATGTATTTTTCAAAACAATCAAGCAGTACAAATCAAATTTAATTTGTTGCATGCATTTTGCGGTGGAACATTTCGTTGGATAATAAGTGAAGGATAAAATTAATAGATAAATTCTTCTGCTCTCTTCTTTTTTAAATTAACAATATTGACAATGAAATAAATCACCTAACATTTCATTGAAAAGTACTTAAAGTTGAAAGCGAAAATTATAAGTTTAGAATTAATTTGTAATTTTTAGAAGTATTGCTGAAGGTGACAAAATTAAACGATTAAGTTTGAGTTGCAATTTTTCCAAAATGTCTATAATTATTTAAGCATTCATGCGTCTACGACCACTTATTTGCTCTTGCACTCGTTTTTTATATCCATCACGCATAAAATTGACAAAAAAAGCAAAAAATTTCTCGCAAATTGCAACAATTTCTCGTTGTTCTCGTTCCATATGTGTTTCTATGATAATTTGAATTAAATTGCCCTGTAAAGTAAAATAAAGTAGGACAAATTGCATTTCAAAATCTCTCTTAACGTGTAATAATTTCAAAAAGAAAAAAGAGAAGAGACCGTATGAGAGAGTATTTGGTGAAAAGAAAAAAAAAGGAAAAAATTAATCAAAAAGAGCACATAAAAATAAAAAAGATTAGTAAAGCAAAAAATAAAAAAAAGGAATAATAGATTAAATTACATGAGTAAAATAAGATATTTTTGGAGTACAATCAGTTTCTCTCTCTCACTTTCTCTTTCTCTCTCTCTCTCTCTCTCTCTCTCTCTTTCTTCCTTTCTTTCTTTTATCGATGCTTTTACAACATTTCAATAATAGTTCTTACCAGAAATATATCCCAGAAATTGGTATGAAAATTTTCAATAAGTACATGTCTGGCACCAAGCTTGCGGCATGCTTCTGCTACCTGAACATATTTACTTATCAGTTAATCAGTTGAACAAATATGACGATAATTTAAATTGGACTTATTTTGAAGATTATTTTTATATCAGTCTCTGAAACAAATGATTTAAATTGACATTCTTTTTTTTAAATCATTTCCAGAAAAAATTTTAGGTGCGAAGAATTTTATGGGAAAAGCGAGTTTCTTTTATTTTAGAAGTTTTACAAATTATAACAAATTTTTTTCGAAGCATCCCAAAACAATGTTGTAAAAATTTAAAAATTAGCTTTATCTATCTGTTAAGCAATCAGAAAAAAATGTTCACTTATCCAAAAATTGAAAATAAGAGTATTGAAGAAAGTAATAAAAATTTTGCTTATGAAAATTTTGAATTTTTCAAGCTTCATATGGCAACTTGTAAAATTGCTATTTTTTTTACCTTATGCTGCGTCGTTTTATTTGTGAGTGAATTTAAGATTTCTATAAACTCATATCAGTAAATGACCTTTGCGTGTAATTTAATAGTTTACACTTCATTACATTAAAGAAAGGTTTTTGAAGTTAGCTTACTTCATTACCATTACAACGAAATTCGACAATAAGTTTGTCAACGAAATCTTCAATATACGGTGATAGTGAAATGAATCTTTCGTTAGTTTCCGGATCTTCATCCTCTCGTAAACCGGTTGCTTTCTGAAATGCAAATAAATCCAATGCTTATAAGTAAACTCATCGATTTAAAATTAACTGAAAGAAATAATTTAATATGTAACGCATACAATTATTGGAATCTTTTTCATCATTGATAGATTTTAATGAAATTAATTTTTCCATAGCATTCAACTATTGTGATTTTTCAAATTGTTTTATTATTGTATTTTTAAAAATTAAAAAGAAACGATTGGAAAATATTGTTTGCTTATTATTATTTGAAGAAAAGGAGATAAGCAAACAAACTTTAATATTGACACTCATACGTGCTGATTTTATCCATGCTCTTAGGAATAAATCAGGATTTTTTTCTTTTAATCTGAAATGAAATTTTTAATTCCAAAAAAACGAGGGAAAAATTGAATAGAACTGTTTTCCTTGGAACTATGTTTGAAATTCCTTTTTTACATCGGAAAATTTCAGGAGAACTTACTTTAGCCAATTGTCCACCAATAATTTGTTCTCTTCCTTTGTCAACGGATTCACTTCGGGCAAACTGTTTGTGACACAAAGTGATAATAAACCATTCCAAATAGATCGAAAAATTCTATTAACACACATTCTTCTATGTTTTATTCCTTCACTTCACAACAAATCAAACCTTTCCCTTCACTAAATTTAACAAATTTTTAACATTTTCAACTTTTATTTGAATCAAAATTTTGGTACCCCGAAGAAATTTGTAAAGAAATTATTTTAAAAAACAAAATGTCATGTTTCAGATTTTTAGTGTTTTGAATTAGTTGCTTTGTTTTATTTTTGTTTTCAATTCTTTTAACTAAATAATTTAAAAGTGTACACATTGAGATTAACTGGAATTTCGAATTGAATAATCAGCACATATGCTATAATTTCATTTCATTAAAAATGAAATTCATGGCATTTTTTTTAATTACCAAATTTTACTGAATAAATTTATTTCAGAAAAATGGAAGGATTTCACAAAATATCCGATTGACCTCATTGAGATGACGAAAAAAGATTACCATTTGAATCTTTAAAAAGCAAAGAAAAATTCGAAAGAGTAAAAGAAAAATACACTTCGTGAAATGCTGATCAATGACTGTTTAGGTGATTTGCATTAGTAATTCAACTAACTATTAATTTTATTTTTAATTCAATTCCTTGACATTTTTAAGATGAGGAAAAATATTTTCTTTCTCAAATTATTTTCTTTTATTTCTTAATACATATCCTCACTTTTATACAAATATAAAATATCAAATGAAATTTGATAATATTCAAAATTTATAGTAACTGACTCGACAAAATTGCTTGCGAAATGCTACTTTTTTCCTGGTCATACATTTCAATTGTCTTGATCTATATGCTACACAAAATGATTATGCTAATTTATTCAAATTTCACAAAAGTGGTGGGAAAAAAGTTAGCAATTCCAAAGCTGAATTTAAAAGCCGAAAAATAAATGAATATAATAAACGAAGCTAATGAGGAGCAGAAATGCACAATGATTGCGAAAGTGAAAGTACAAAGTAATTTTTCCCTCATATTCCATTGGGATTGATAGTAATTTATTTTTGTTAAAATTTTCACAGGGGATCAGCTGGTAAACTTTGACAAAAAAATGAATGAAATGAAAGAAAAAAAAATTTACATTTATTTCAGCCAGATTTGATGGCTAATTTTACGGTTATAGTCAGAAGTGTAACTTCTCTTAAATTTAAATTAATCTATTCTTTTAAACGTTCTGTACAACAACTATGGCGCATATGTTTAAGTGAATTCTTATTTACCACAAGAATATAAACTTAGTTAATTTAAAATCGATTAATTTTGCATTAGGCGATAGAATGAAATTTTTATGATTTTACCGTTCAAAACTGAACATGGAAATTAATGTTTTGTTAATTGTTTTTATTGCTGCTTTTGCAAAAGTTAAACGTTTTAATGCTCTAAAATGAGAACCATTAGGCTGGTAATGAGTAAGATTTATTTGGCTCGAGAAATGTAACAATAAATGAAGAAGGCTACGGAAAGGCGACCTTCAGGCAATGTGGGTTATCGATAGCTGTCTTAAAAGAATGAATTCCTTAGGACAACAGAGATCGACACTTTTATTTTCGTCACATCTTTTCAGTTAATTTTATGCTTCATCACGCCCAGCTAATATCCAGTCTTTTTGATTAAAAAAAAAACAAAGTGAAAAAAAAGGAAGAAAAAACGCTTTTTATAATTTTCAATTTTTTGAATTATAAATTCTGCCTAGTTTCTCACTGAATTAAAAAAGATTTTGTTGTAGAAAAGATTAAATATACTCAAAATGTATTTCAATTTTAGCTATAATCAAAATAATAATGAGCTGTAATCAAAATAAACCATTTAAAATTTCACCATTTCTTTTGAGAATTCCTAACATCAGCGGAAAATATTGCAACGAAATGGAAATAGAAAAAATATTTCAAGAATATAGGATAATATCTTATAAAATATGATGTGATATTTGTATTTAAAAACTAAATTTATTAGCTTGAAAGTAATATAATGATCAGAAGGCGTATTTTCTTCCATTGAAATTAGAGATATTATCTATAAATATTTGTTAAAATTGTTTGATTAACTATATTCCAACACTGCTATATAGGTATTAGCCTAATTGTTGAAGATTTCCAATTTAGATAATATCTATCTTCGGATTTAAATTGTTTTTTAATGAATTAAAAGCAATGGCAATATCAAAAATCTCTATTGTCTTATCAATGCATTTAAATTCCTAATAAAAGCCAAAAAACTTTAACAATTTTTGCAATCTCAAAAAATCTGTCATGTTAAGGTGAAAAATAAATTTACTTAATTGTCAACTTATTGGCTATACATTCTTCAGAACAGAAAAAAAATATATCCACAGAACAATAATTTTTTTTCCTAATATTGTTAATGCATAATCTCTTGGCCTCAGATGGTTAGTCCAAACAAAAAATATTAAAAAAAACTAAAATAAAAAGGCCAAACACAAACATTTCATTTGTCAATGCTTTTTTACTTTAATCAAATGAGAAAAATAACTTAATTTAGCGTTACTGTTTTAGCGCTAAATTTCAGATGTCCTTAAAAAGTATATCTAAATAATTAATGAACAATGAAACTAATTTTCAGAATTTTAATCCTTTATTGCAAAATAATCAGAATTTTTATGCAGTTCGAGTTTAATTTTCCAATATATTATTTGAATTTCTAAAATATAATATAGTTTTCAATTTAATCTACCATTTAAGTTTCGGTTCAATTCCAGGAAAAGGGCCAAATTTTTTCCTCAAGCCAAATTGATGAGGAATGAGATGATAGGCAAAAATGATATGCTAATAAGAATAAGGAATAATATGACCAATCAATTTGGACTAACAATTAAACCAAATGATCATTGAATGAAAAGAAGGGATACACCAAACATTTGTAATTGAATTTGAATATAAATACATATAGTTTGCATTTTATCAAAATTTTAACACAGCGGGAGATAAATAATATCTTCCCGAATCGTTAAATATAATGAAGATCAATGAAAAAATCTGAACGGTATTGACAGTTTCAACAAAAATGGCAGAATTAAAACTTAAGTTTGATGTGCTAACATTTCGAAATATTAGAAGTAATTTTGCAAACTTCATTATATTTGAACAATTCGGGAAGATATATTTGCACAGCAATGGAAGATAAATGCGTATTTGCAAAATTTAGTTAGTTTGATCATCATTTAAACATTTCAGACTTTTTCAATTTTGTTTAGTTTTAGTTCAAATTGAGTTTACTAAATTGTTTGCGAAATTTCATTAATACAATTCGGACAAAATATTCAACATAAACGATCAACACAATGTGAAAGTAACGCACAGACGGCATACAAACCATATTTTGTAGTTTTTTCTTTCTTTTACTTTTTCCATTTGCATATTGGACGGAAATGTGTTTATACGATGACATTCAAATTATTTCATATAATTTAATTAGATTTAATTTCAATTTGGAAAAAATTCTCTATCAATTCTGTGTGATTAATTAAATTTTAAAAGGACGAGAATAGTGTTGATGTGGTAGCTTATCGGTATAATTTCAACGTTGTAGTTGGTGAAGTTAAGCTCGATGACCGCATATGTCATCGATGGATGGAAGTTCAATGATGATCGCTTTTAACCACCAAGATCTCTGAGTTTGCTCATGATCTGAATTTGAGAACGTGCATCACCATCTGAGAACTTTCACTAATGCTTATTTATGAAATTTAAAGATATCGATTTTAAACTATCGGAAAGAATACAATCACACTGAGTGGATGATGAAAGACGAAATTAAATTATTAATAATTGTACTTTAATGTACATGTAATAACTATTGTTATATTAACTTTCGAATTATTCTGTCTTTTAATTGGTGATCGATGTCTTTCGTTCTATGCAAATCAGACAGAAGCAGAGAAAGAGCGAGAGAGAGAGAGACGACGGAAAGAGTTCTAATTTGTGTAATTTTATTACAATAATGATTTAAATTTCTATTACTCTCTGTCATTGATCAATTTCGCATCATTATTGTTTTACACTTATTTTCTTTGTTGGAATAATATAATTACTCAGATTTACATATTTCATTAATCACTTAAATCGTATATCCATTTTTTTATGTCACGTGAAATTGAATAACGTGACATCCTGCGACGCAGAACGATTATTATGTTTTATAATGGCCGTGAATATAAATGCTGATCGAACATGAAATATTTGCGGAAGAATTTTTGGAAATTAGAATTAAACATGTATTTTTTCTTAAATTACCAAATATTTAACGCCGAATCACATACACACACATACACACACATACACACACA